TCCCCAACTCCGGGGACTTCCGGCCGGGGACTCCGGGTGGCAGTATACGCCGTGAAGTTGTTTGCGGCCTGCCAGTAAACCCAAAGCAGAAGAAGAAGAAGTGACGTCAGCGGCTTCATTTGCCTAATCCTTCCCCAGGGACTTATTCCGGTGTGAACGCGATCTGTACTTAGTTCATGAGAACTAAAGAGTTCTCATGAACTAAGTTCTGATGAACCTTTGTGGGAAAAGTACTGCGGTGTGAATGCGCCTAATGAGATTTTATGGCAAGACCCAATCGAACTAGAATGTGTAGGCCTAAATATGATCCTGTCGCCTCAGCAGTGGCGTTTTTATATGTACAAAAGTGGTGGGGCACAAAAAACGTAGATGTCTATATATAAGCTTCTGCAGTGACGTGCAGTGAGGTTCATGGCTGGTGAGGCACTGGCACTGACTCTTCAGGTTTACAAATATTATATTTTGACCTAAACCAAAATATAATATTATTTTCAAAAGCTTTTTTTGTCTGATGCTTCGATTAATTTTAAACAGACAGTTCAACAAAAGGATACCCAAAAAATGTAATTTTATCATTTAAATATTGAATTGTTCTCTCTTAGTAAGATCCCATTTTCAATCAAATTGCGGTCTTACCTTGACTTGAAGATGAAGTCCATTTGCCTATCCTTCTGGACAAAAATGTCTATAACTTTTTTGTAAAAGTCCTCCTTATGTTCTTGTAGTTTCAAAAGTCTATCATAAATCTAATCCATAGATTTATGATAAAAAAATTATAAAAGTAGGGTAGACATGTGGATGTTATCCGGCTGATCAAAACGTGCATTTATCTAACAGGTACGTTTCCCACAGATCTTATTTCCAGCTATTTTCTAAAATCCTCTGGAGAAATCTCATTGCTTTTTTGTGCTTACTTCCTGGTTTTAGGACGCGTCACTGCAGCTCTCTCGTCTCCTCTTCACACACCACACTTTTCGCGGCACACGTACTTACAGCCAATCAGCTCTGAATGATTTGAGATGACGTATGGTGGGGATGGTAGCTCCATGCCCCTCTGGTCATTATTTTTTTGCCACACACATTTCATTACAAAATACTCTGAGCATGCGCAGTGTAGTTTTTACAGTCACCGTTGACTTCACAGCGAGAGGGAGGGGCATAATCAGGTTTTGTCCCACATGGCTCTAAACAGCTCAATAGGCACACACTGTGACTGTAGACACACTAATTAGAAGAACACAGACTAAAACAGCAATGTACAGACGAATCAGATGATTAAACATGATCTTAAAATATATTTTATATATTTTTTTATTTATTTTTTTGCATTTTTGTAATCATTATTTGTAATACTTTCTGCTGACACTAGGTGGGGCTGTGCCCCACCTGCCCCTAATGACCAGTCGCCACTGCGCCTCAGATGTCCTTTACTTTAATAGTAATTTATCGACCACCTTCTTCAAATGTTAGCTTCTATGATCAATTCAAGAAGGTTTTATGTCAATGTGATTTTAAGAAAGAGGTCATTGTAATGGGTGACTTAAATTTGAATTGGGAAGACATGTCGTCAAGGAAGAAGCTTAAGCAAATTACTGATAGTTTTAATTTGACTCAAATCGTTAAAGGCCCAACGCGAATAACAAACAGCACCAGTACCCAGATTGACCTAATTTTAACAAATAGACCTGAAAGGATTACAAAATCATATAATGTGGTAACAGGGCTGTCAGACCACAAAATTGTGCTGGTATCTAGAAAACTAACTGGCAAACGGTTCACTGCGTATGCAGGTAATAAAGAATCCTTTGGCATCCCAAAGAACAAGCAAGAAGACTTCAGATCAACTATACAAAACTTAGATTGGGAAGATCTAGTACTTGAAAATGATTTAGAAGTAACTAGTCAAAACTTTACGGGAAAACTACAGGCCACAATCAATGAATTTTCAATCATGATAAAACATAAAAACCAGAAACAGACTCTCCCCTGGATGAACGGACATGTCAGAAATGTAATGAAGCAGCGGGACAGTGCCTTAAAAACTGCCATACAATCAAAGATGTCCCACGATAGACATATATTTGCAAGGCTAAGAAACAAGGCAACAAGGGAACTGAGAAAAGCAAAAGCGGACTTCTTTATCACAATGATTGAAAATGCTCAGGGCAACTCAAAAGCTATATGGAGCCAAATAAAAAAATGAACTGGTCAAAACACTACGACAGCCAAGCCAATTGAATTGAGGGTTGAGGGCACAACTCTGCAGTGCCCAGCTGATGTGGCACCTACACTCAATTATTATTTTGTTGAGTCAGTGGCTACCATAGCCAGTAGCTTCATAGCTCAGGAAGAAAATGCACTCCCTACTGTCAACACTAGCGAGCCAGCAGCTGTTCTAAAGTCAGTGTCTGAGACAGAGGTTGCGGAAGTAATTGCCAATCTGAAATCCTCAAGGGCTAAGGATATCTACGGTATGGACACATTCATGCTGAAAGACATTAACTCCTCAATTGTTAAGCCACTAACGCATATCATTAATATTTCAATCAATCAAGGGAGTTTTCCCAATCAATGGAAGCCTGCTGTTGTGGTCCCGTTATTCAAAGGTGGGGACCCTTTCATGACATCCAACTATAGGCCCATCAGTATCTTGCCCATAGTATCCAAGGTATTTGAAAAACTGATTGCCAAACAAATCATCAATCATCTCAACAACATCTCCTTTCCACTGCATCCAATGCAATTTGGATTCAGGGCTAATCACTCAACAGAAACAGCGACATGCTTCTTCGTAGAGAAAGTAAAGGCATCAATGGACAGGGGTGGGGGTTGTGGGGGCCGTGTTCCTTGATTTACGGAAAGCTTTTGACACTGTTAATCACAACATCTTATTGCAAAAAATGCTCAACTTAAATGTTTTTATAGAATTCACCAACCTCTTTAAATCGTATCTTTCATCCCGCTCCCAATGTGTTCAAATTGAGAACCATAAGTCTAGTGCACTATGTCTGTCAACTGGAGTACCGCAGGGCTCTGTATTGGGCCCAATCCTGTTTAGCATGTACATCAATGATCTGCCTTCTGTGTGTGGACAATGTGATGTATTAATGTATGCTGATGATACAGTTGTTTTTACTCATGGCAAAACCGCAGAAGAGGCTGCTACCAAGGTCACTGATGTGTTGGAGAATATTACATCCTGGCTTAACAACAATTGTTTGCAACCAAATATTTCAAAGACAGTGTGTATGTTCTTCTCCAAGGGCCACAGCATTATAACAGAACAAGATGTTTTCTTTTCTGGAAGGAGACTACAGGTTGTCTCGGAGTATAAGTACTTAGGAGTACACATTGAACAGATTGAACTATCTATTTGACAGATAGTTCAATCTGTCAAATTTCAGATACATTAGAAACTTCCTATCATCTGCAGCAGCTAAGCTATACCTTCACTCAATGGTCCTCTCCCACATCAACTACTGTCTGATAAGCTGGTCTAATGCACACTCTTTAAGGCCACTGGAATCACTGTATAAACAAGCACTCAAAACACTAGACTAAAAGCCATTCCGGTATCATCATTGTCACATTGTTAAAAAGTATAATCTTTTCAGCTGGGAAAATGTCATAGTTTACAAAAACATCTGCTTAGTTTATAAGATCACTCGTGGGTTGGCTCCTCCTCCTCTGGCTGGCTTCATCAGCCTAAAGTCCACCTCAACCAGGGGGCTACTAGAGGTGCTGCTAGGGGAGACTGCACCATCCCATTTAGGAAGAGTGCATTTAGCCAGGCTGTCTTTTCATTCCACGCATCCCATCAATGGAATTCAATACCACCACCTATAAGAGAATCATCCTACTACACATTCAAGCACAGTGTTAAAAAGTGGCTCATTAATAATCAACAGTGTGAGCACTGATGTGTGGGTGTAGGTGTTAGTATGAGTGCGTATTGTGAATGTTTTATTTATTATCATGACTTGCTCTTATCTGTATTCAGTGATGTCGTCTATTTATTTATTTTTTGGTATAACAATGTCGTGGTATTTTCATTCTTGCTTTTAGGATGTCTATCACCATCTGGCAAAGGGACTATCGGTGAAAACTAGCCTTTTGGCGAATTCGAGTACTTTTATATGTTGATTAATGTACACTGTCCCTTGTTTTAAATAAATAAATAAAAAAAAAAAGAAAAGTAAATCACATTTTTTAGATACATTTATTTTTATCAACATCTAATCTGTTCATGCTAATTGTTTCTTTCCTCAGCATTGCAATACATTGTGGTATCAATGCACCTAGGATATCAGCACACACTATTTGATTGACTTCAACACACACACACACACACACACACACACACACACACACACACACACACACACACACACACACACACACACACAAAATACATGCACATAGACACAAACACACTGTTAGAAAGATTTAATGGGAAACAATCACTAAGTATGTACTTACAGATAATCTACTACTGTTAAAAGAAGTAGCTTGAGGACACATCATCACAGGGTTGGACGAGTCTGTTTGCTTTTATCACACCCAGATCTTGCTTTTCTAAAATAATGTTAGGTTTAAACAAATTCATGTCAAATGCATTGCATAACTGTGTTGGACACTCTAAGACTGTCTGGGGCATTTGAATCGTTCTCTACTTGTAAAAGAAGGCTTCCAAACACAGCGTAGGTGGGCAAAGCCTTCTGTGGGACTTCAACTCAGGATCATGACCTCTTTGCTCATAGGCACTAAAACGGCCCCTGACAGCTCCTCAAAAAGTTGAGAATCAAAAAATTTCCTAGAAAAATCCTACTGTTATATATTTGGCCAAAGTATATCTAAGTACCAAGACTTAAGAACATTCAAAACCAACATTGTGACATTCCTTCTTATATAGTCTCAGGCATCATATAAGTTAACATTAAAGTGAATTCAATCCAACACAGCTCTAGGCAAAGAAATAAAGATAAAACATAGAAATAGGGTCAAGTTCACCAAGCATACTTTATTGAATCAATTCATAAGAAATTATCAGAGGACTTACAGAAAAGCAATAGACATCATCTAGCTTCAAATTAAATACATGACATGTTCTCATTAAATCAACTGTTCAAAAAGGCAGCACAATAACACACACAGATACTGTCACACTGGTGAAAGGACACAGCAAACACACACAGCCGCCATGTGACTGCTACGCTCCATTTCAGTCCTTTTACCTTTGCTCCCTGAAGGATCCACAGCCTGTACGGCAGCTCATTATTCAGAAATATTCCTCTTGGAATACAATAAATATAATCTGAGTCTCCATGATGCAGTTTGATTTCAGACGGATGGCAGAACACACACTGTAGGCCCCTCTGAGGAAATGCCCCCCCCCCCCCCCAACACACACACCTTATCGATTATAAAGGAGTCACACAATCACTTTCCTTCCACCTGTCTCACCCAGGTCTACGTTTAATGTTGCCTACATTTACCAGAGGTATTTTAGAGAAATTACCCCCAAAGAATCACATATTAAGACCACAAAATATTTAATAGAAAAACAATTTTGTATAAAAAAGTCAAAAATGATACCTTGTCCCCATTTTAAAATTCTCAAATGCACAGATCAATATTCCTTGAGTAAGCAAACAGGAGTGAAGTTATGTAGTCGGCATACAAGGAGGGACGTAGACGGTTCACGAGTAGAACTTACTGTTGTTTATCTTTTTCTCTTTTGTCCTGAAATGCACAGAGAAAAGGATTTATTACATGCAGTGGTGGGTGGTATATATATATACTTCATATTATTGCTTTCAACCAACCTAATACAGTTATGTGAAATCTCTTGACATATTACATTTAAGTCAACGTTTCAGTTTTTCAGTGGCAATAATGTGCTTTTTACTCCACTACATTTATTTAACAGCTTTTAGTTGCTATTTTATTTTTATGTTTAGATTATTAGCTTACACAAAATATAAATCATTATTAAATAAACTTTGAGATATCCAGCAGCAGTATATCAAGTTATTCAAATTAGCTCTACATTTACCAGTTGTGATAAAAACACATGAATAAGCTAACAGTAACTCAATATATAGATATATATATATGATTGTGAAATGGGCCATTACGCATAAGAAGTACTTTTACTTTTGGTTCTTGAAGTATAGATGATGCTGATACTTTGGTACTTTTACTTAAAGGTGGGGTAGGTAATTTTGGAGAGACCAGCTCGAGTGCGCTAGAATTTGAAAATACACAGCCGGAACAAATCTCCCACTTCCTTATAGAGCCCCTCCTCCAACACACATGAACGCACACATGACCAATGAGGGCACGAGATAAGTTTGTGCACAGATGGAAGGCTGACAGGCAGGTAGGCCATCCAGTTATTTTAGCCGGGCCGGCTAAAATGATTGGTCGTACTTTTTACAGCGCTACGGCTTCCACAGATGACATTTTTTTATGGATTTGTTGTCAAAGCACTTAAGATATTCATTGCTATCGGGATGTTAAGAGCATTCCATGGAATATAACAAAAAGTGTATCTCGAGCCGGTTTCTAAAACTTACCTACCCCACCTTTAAGTAAGATTTTGAATGCAGGATTTCTACTTGTAACAAAGAACTTTTGAAATGTAGTATTGCTACATTTAATTAAAGTGGACCTATCATGCTATATTTGAAACATATATTGTAGGGCCATATCTATATAAAACATGTCTGTGAAGTTTTTTTTTCAAAATACCAAACAGATCATGCATTTTAGCCATGCCTCATTTCGCTCTATTTGCTCTTTTCCAGCCCTGTTTTTGCAAGGGCTGATTCTGTGACATAGCTTTAATGCAAATGAGCCACGCCCCCCTGCAGGAGAGGGAGATCAGCTGCTGGGCTCTCAGAAGAGGGGGAGGAAAAGAGAGGCTCCGTCCTCCGTGTATTATTCTTATATTATTATATTTATATTTATTCATTTGTTTTAAAGCTCAATAAATAACAAAGAAGACCTTTGACCAGCACTTTTCAAATTTTGTCCGGAAGATTTAAACTTTAACGGACATGTTGACCGGCGAAAAAAAAATCTAGTTCATAAACATGTCCGTGGTAAAATGTTTAGAACACACAAGCAGAAATCTGCCGGAGTCTTCTGGCACATGTCCCTTGAAAATGAAGTCTAGCCACAGATTCTTGTCTTTTTCCAGGGATGGCATTGCATGCAGTCCCTTGTCCCGATTCTTGCAGCCAACAACAGCACAACGTTTAACTCCCTTAGACATCCTGGCAAGAGCAGGCAAAAACACAGATGTGACTTTCCGACAGCCTATATGCGAATGAGAGGTTGGGCAATGGCCGTGGCCCAACCTCTCATGTGACGTGTTCAGTACTACATGAGTTTTACCTTTACCCATGGATGCACAATAAGAACGGATTATATGATTATATGAATACTTTCGTGACGTTTCGCTCTCTCAAAAGTTGGGCCATTTTGTCTTCATGCGCCAATGAGCAACTCTCATAGGAATGAACGAGGCCCCGCCTCCCACGCTGTATCCAGTTCTTATTATACATCCATGGTCCCAACCCCCCCAATAATATGAGCTCACCTTTGAGTGCTGCCCTCTCTGGTCAGGAGGGTGTGTTGGGGAGGGGGAGCGGCGCGCTGGAGGTTGGTGTGTGTTTCGTACAGGAAGGGCTCGCCCCCCACCTCCGCCTGCCTCTTCTTCAGCTGGCTGGAGGACGAGTACAGCTCCTCCTCCGCTTTCTGGAGGACAGGGCATGTGAGTACATCAACTGCTGTGTGCGCGTGCGTGCGTGTGTGTGTGTGTGTGTGTGTGTGTGTGTGCGTGTGTGCGTGTGTGTGTGTGTGTGTGTGTGTGCGTGTGTGTGTGTGTGTGTGTGTGTGTGTGTGTGTGTGTGTGTGTGTGTGTGTGCGTGTGTGTGTGTGTGTGTGCGTGTGTGTGTGTGTGTGTGTGTGTGTGTGCGTGTGTGTGTGTGTGTGTGTGTGTGTGTGTGTGTGTGTGTGTGTGTGTGTGTGTGTGTGTGTGTGCTCACCCCTGCTTGTTGTACATTGATGTAGACCAGCAGAGAGGCTAACTCCAAGTTTTCGCTGTAGCCGTTCTTCAGAGGGACGGAGCGGTACCCTGGAGAAACAAACACTAATCAGATCGGATGTTCTTACATCACTGGTGTAGAGCTCGACTGTCTGCCGGCCGTGTCACAGAGGAGGATGTCTTCACCCACACCATGACACGCTGCTCAGGCACAGAGTAGTTTCAGTGAAAGACTCATTCTACCATGATGCACCACAAAGCGCCACAGGAAGTCCTTCCTGCCTGTGGCCATCAGACTGTTTGACAAAGGGTAGTCAATATGCTGACACTCGACTATTTATCATGTTTTTGACATTTTACTTTCTAATGTTTATGTATCTTATTTTATGTATTTACTTTCATTGCGTATTCATTTTACATTTTTTTAAATTGTATTCATTCTTTAATGGACCAACTGTCACAAAAAACTAGTTCCCCCAGGATTATGAATGTATTTCTGATTCTGATCATCTATTTGAAACATTTAAATACACACCTTTCTGTGTTGCCGATCACAGAAAGGTGCCGACCTTTTACACAAAAGTGAACTTTAATAGCAGACCTGACCAGACTGTGACTGATTAACACCTTTCTAACGTTGGATTTCCATAATGTGATCAGCCAGTGGAAAATATTCAAATCAAATTCAAAACACAGTGGCGTCTTTGAAAAAATATTCAGAGGTTATATTACGGATACATAATATGTAGTTGTCCACAACATATCTAACATTGATCAGTATTTTACACATAACTCCATATGCTTTTTTAATTTAATTTGACCTTCTAATGTTCAGTTTACTTTATTTCCTTATATTTATTAATCTTATTTTATCTTCCTATTGCACATTATTTGTTCTTATGTACAGTATGTATAATATTTTATTTTATTTATCTTCTATTTTATTTCATTAATTTTCATTGATTACTCTATATTGAATCTGAAATGTATCAAAAGAGGTAAGAGAAGGCAGAACTGAAAAGTTATTTCAGAATAGTGTACAGAAATCATGCTCCTAGTAAACAAATGATATGTAAGATTATAGTATAGTATATATAATAGTCAACAGTTTAAAAATACATGTAATGTTATGAATTGCTGCGGTAATGTGTGTGATAGATGAACTCAGACCATTGCAACAGGCATCATGTATGATAAGTGTGAAATGGCTTTTTCTTTTCTCGTTCTTTTTGTATTATCGTTGACATATTTTGTATCTGTATATGTATATGTCCCTCTGAGGGTGAGTGACAGAAACAAAGATCATAGTTAGATGATGAGAACTGAAGCTGCTGTGCTCCCACCTGAGCGGATGCCTTTCACAGGAAATGTAGCCTGAGCCACGAAGTTGGGGTCTGAGAACATGTCCTCCTCGTTGACCACGAAGCGCAGGAAGGTGAGTTCAGGCTCGAACACCGTGAACACCGCTGAGTCAGCCGGGGACTTCCACAGCGGGTTCAGACCGTTATCACCTGCAGAGGACAGGAGGACTGATCACACATCAGCTCATCTCAGTTCATCCTCGCCCCTTGTTCTGTCCCACAGGTCAAACTGTTCCCCCCCGCCTTTACTTACGGTAGACGACGGTCTTGAACTTCTCTTCTGTGTGGCCACACAGCTCGATCTCCACGAAGGGACTGACGATGCTGCGGCCCGGCTTGGGAAGGTGTCTGGCAGCGATCACCTGCACACACACCGCCGTCAGAACTGCTCTCAGGACTGAGATATTATACTTCAGTCAAAGAAGCAATACTTAGTTGTGAAAATACAAGTGTAAGACCTGCATTCTAAATCTTACTATAGTAAATGTACAGAAGCATTGGCATCTAAATATATATATAAGTACTAATAGTCAAAGTGCTTGTTTCGCGTATAAGAATCATATATGAGAAATTAAGGGATTCAACTTATCGATGCATTTATGTGTTTATCACAGCTGGTAAAGGTGGAGTTAACTTTAACTATCTTGTTTACTGCTGCTGAATATTTTAACTTGTATTTTTTTTTTTATTAGTTGATTTCTATTTTGTATTAACTAATAATGTATAAAGTAACTCTGTCAGATAGATGTAATGGAGTAAAGAGTACAATACTGGCTTCTAAAATGTAGTGGGGTAAAAGTATGAAGTAGCATAAAATCAAACTACTAATGTAAAGTACAGGTACCTCAACATTTTACTTAAGTGCGATACTTCAACAACTGTTCAAGACTAACATGCCTAACCTCTTAAGCCCTGAGCCTGTTTTTCAGGTCTCAGGCTCGAAAATGACATTCCCAGAACAAATGACCATATCTTCCCTTCTAAAAGGGTTAAATTAATAATCTTTATTCTCAAAGTAATGATAAACCTGTGAGTTAGATGTAGAAAAGTCAGAATCAATATAGATGTTTTTTATTTTAAAGAAAATTCAGATTGAACATAGTAAAAAACTGTAAATTATAGTGTCCGTCCAAAAATTCTTTTTTACTTATAGTGAAAACTACCCTTGGATGATGGTAAGGTAGACTAAAAGCTTTAGGAATCCAAAGTACAACATATAATAAGTACCCTGTATCAAGATTGATGCAAAACAAGTGAAATTTGACCTTTTTAGGGAGATTTAGCCAAAAAACCCCACTTCTGGGGTCATTTGGGTGGATTTGACCTATCTCTGGTCCCCCTTGCTCGATTTTGATGAATGAAATCTCTTTATAACGGCTAGAGCCAATGGAATCGAGGGAAAGTTATATACACACCAAAACGTTAACAAATAAGGAGTGAGAGTGACGCGTTACCAAAACCGGAAGCTGCATACACTCTGGTGGCTACCATTAGCAGCTAACTTTTCCGCTCCGATTTTTACATAAAAATGGAATTATGGATTATAAATAATTTTTTCAAAGGCACAGATACATTATCAACCTATGGATCAACAGTTGTAGCATTTTTTTTTTTTCGTTTTAATGCCATTGAACACGTCTTTTGACCTAATTGACAGCTACGGTGAGACGATCTGCCGTAAAAGCTCCGTAAAGGTACGTGTTGTGATGTCTGTGTTTGCTTCCCCTGTCGCAAGTTCGGATCGCTCAGTGATGATACTATACCTAAATAATCAGTGGAGTCTCAGCTTTAATCGGCTATATTGTATGTGCAGCTACGATAAGTAATAAGGGTATTTTTATCTTGAATTGTGTGCCGCAGTGCGTTAGAATTTTTTCGCTCAGGGGTCATTTAGACGCTTCTTATGAGACTTGTGTTTTTTTTTTGGTAAAAATGGTTCATATCTTCAGTTAGCTGAGATTCTTCCCGTTAATCTGGTGCTACACATTAATAGTTTCATAAATGTTAAGAAGCCCTGAGACATTATCTCGAAAAAGAAACGGTGGGAGGGGTCCAATGGGGGGACCGCCGTGCTTAAGAGGCTAATGTCAGAATGCTGCTAGTCACCCAGATTTGATTTGATTACAAATTCAGATTAGTTTATCAGCATCAGGCCCCTCTAATATCGTTGACACAGTTTTTCACTGGCCCTGCCTCATGCCTTGTGGGCAAGTTTATTTATATTGCCGATTTCACCAAAAGGCAATTCAAAGTGCGTCCAGACAGTTATAAATATTGAGAGTGTTACGTACCCTAACAGTGATTTTGTACTTGACCTTCTTCTTCTCCTGGTTGGGGTCGTAGCTATCATAGCGCATGAGCTCGGGCTGCAGCACGTACCCCGTCTGTCCGTTCATACTGAAGAGGGCGCTGTTCAGCTGGGTGTATTTATCTGGACACACACACACACACACACACACACACACACACACACACACACACACACACACACACACACAATATTACAATATACATATACAATATTTAAAATGAAAAGGTGGAAAATAAGTATAAAATAAAATAAAACAAAACAATAAACAGAAAGTATATAAATGTATCTACAGTAGAATGGACATGAACCTCAAAGAATACTCAATATAAAATGTTTAAGATACGTTAGATATATAATGGCCACGACAACGTCATTGTGAAAGAACCATAGAGAATTGTAATAAACATTTATTCACATTTATTGCCAATTTCTTTTATACATTTGGAAGGAAACCTGGATTGTTGCGGTGTTCCCTTTTTCAACAAACATCTTCTGGGACACATGAACAGCACACATCGTTATTGTTAGAGCTTACACCTGTGCTTGTAGTCAAAGTGTCTAAAATCAAACTACTAATGTAAAGTACAGTACTTCAACATTTTACTTAAGTGCGATACTTGAGTAAATGTACTTTGTTACATTTCAACAACTGTTCAGGACTAACATGCCTAATGTCAGAATGCTGCTAGTCACCCAGATATGATTTTATTACAAATTAAGATTAGTTTATCAGCAGATTAGTTTGTAAAAGGCTTCCAACATCCAGCATTCGGTGCTCCTGCATTAACCTGAGCCCTGACCTGAGGCCACTGTATGGAGAGGCATACAGGTGTAGTGCTTAACATCTGATTATGGCTGCATTCCAGTTAGCTGCGTCAGTTCCAGGGTCCAGGGTTGCAGTCGAATTGTCAGTTTTGCTAAGAAAGTTGCCTTAATTAGGGAAATGACCTAGAAGTACCTAGAGTAACTGTCAGCCATGATTTGTCTGGTGTCTGTTGTGTCTCGTCAAAGATGTTAGTCTAGTCATGTTTCATGTTTTGTTTATTATTCTGTTCTTTAATCTTATTATTATTATTAGTGCGAATGCTGTTTACAACTTCAACTTCAGCATACTTTCAGCTACAGAAACCATTCAAATATCAAAATATTCAGCCTTTTCAGCACATGATGGGAAACTTTCAACTTTTTCAAAATATTTTATACTTTTCAAAATATTCAGCTTTTTAAACTCTTTTTTTAACATGTAACTCAATGGGAGGAACCTTCAAATCCTCTTTTACCTACACCTTGTGCCAAATGCTACTCCTTCCACATACTTTCAGCTAGACACTTCATTCCAACTTTAACATGATCACAAGACCTTCAGCTATAAAACTTGTTCTTCAGATCTTTGATATCTTTTACAGTTTTTGACCTATCAACGTTTAAGTTTTGGTACATTTTCAGGCCGTTTTCGATTTTATAATGGGTGTCTATGGGAGGGACTCTTCAGGGCTAGAGTGCATGACATCATCAGAGTGTAGAGGGTCTTAAAAATCTTCGGAAGAAATATTTTAAAACTGCTCTTAGAGCCAAAATATACACTCTATTCAAATAATTTCAAAAGATTTCAGGAGCATAATTAGTCTGGCCTGCTCAATTGCCTTCATCATATCAAACGGACCCACCGTGCTGGCCCAATAGTGATCTGAGTGACAAAAAGTCCACCTAGCTCCCAATAGACTCCCATGTTAAATTTGTCCGGAACTTTCTTCAGAACAGAGAGAAGTAAACTTTAGACAAACTGCTCCCATTTTCACATTTTACACACAAAACCCAAAAAAACAACCATATATCAGTTCATTGGGGTTCCCTGATGCTCACTTTCTGGGCATTTTTTTTTATAGGAGCCATAGTTTTTGAACAGGTGGCAAAATTGTCAGATATAATCCTCAATGCATTCTTAATGGGACTCAGTGCTGCAGTTGGTAACCATGGTGTTGCTGGGCATATTGAAACCTTTGATATCCGGGCTCACACAGGTGTTATGATTATTTGTTGTGATTAGGTGCTCAGCACAGAAACACACACTGACAAACACACTGGACCTAGTACTCTTCATACTGACTTCAACATGTTCCACATATTTTATACATTATTGGTGACGTATGGTTTTAGTCGAAAAGTTTGCAGTCAAAATATTCTGCTGCTTTCCCAAGCCTTTTTACTTTCTTTTCTCTTCCTAATACACATTCATTCACTACTTACATCTGATATGTAACTCCTTCAGCCTACTTTCAGCTGCAGAAACCATTCAACTATTACATTATTCAGCTATTTCAGGACATTGAGGCTATACATGTTGTTGTTTATACCTTTTTTAAACATTTTCTTTTAAATATGAATCTTCTTCACTATTTTTCCTACTCTTCCAGTTTAACATTTCACTTTCAAGTTTTCAACAGTCATTGCAATGCATTTGAGCTGTAACAATTTGATTCAAATCATTTCACTTTTCTGCATTTCTCTGCTAAGTTCAGCAACACACTGACTTGGTCTCTGTAGCTACAAGCAGCTACCATTCAGCTAATAACATATTCAGCTTTTTCTGCATTTTCAGCTCAATTCAGCAACAAATGTTCACAGTTTACAGCATTCACACGCATTTTCTGCAGGAAATGCATTTTGCAGCATATGATTTTTCATATCTTTTACACTTTTTGAGATATTTAACTTAGTTTGGAGCTTGGTATAGAGGCCTTCTTCAGATGTTACTTATTTTACTACTTTATTAAAAATGAGTTGTAACTGCGTTACTGAGAATTGTAACGGGTAGTATATTACCCAAATTTCATTAGTAATGCGTTACATTACTTCGTTACAGCAAAAAGTAATACATTACTGTTACACCCAACACTGATGATGTCACAGCTAGAGTGGGGGACAGCTTGAAATTCGCCTTCATATTTTTTTTTTAACTTGCCATAATTCCCAAACCCTACACTCATGAGACATCATTTTTCATGAAAAACGTAGGAAAACCTCTCCTACGTTGAAAAATAAAAAATAATT